ATGTTTTTGCCACGCTGGGTGCATAACAGCTAGGCCTAGGAACCGAGAGGCTGTGTGCCATGACACTCCCACTTGCTGAGGATGCCAAACATTGAGTCTATGGCGATGTATTGAAATCGGCCAGCCTACAGCTGCTTAAATGCAGGCTGGCGAGCCCACCCAAGGTCCAGCCACTGCCAAAGGGGGAAATGACCGCACCAGAATCATCATCCGAACTGTCGCGCTGAACCTCAGCACTGCATATAATGACGCGCCGGGTTGCTCTGGTGTGTGATGGAGACAGTTTGAGACGACGGAAGTGGTGTGCTGCCTGGTAGAACATAGGACATTGTGGACGTTGCACATTGCGTCAATTATGACACGAAGCCTCCGAAGGTCGTGGCGCGTGGCGTCAATCAAGGAAAATATTCGTTACGCCATGCAGCCAGTTCATCGAACACATGCATGACTCATCATTCACTGTATTTTACTAAAACGATTCTTGCGCCCAGCATACACTTCATTGCGCACACTTGGCGAGGACACAGAGCAAACAGGGAGGGGGGGGGGGGGGGGGGCGGAGAGCACAAGTTTATTTTTTCAGGGTTAAATCTAGGGTTATGCAAGATGATAACCAGTCTGAAACAAACCCAAACGTTTGTGTGCGAAGGGAACCGTCTATGCCTCAAACAGACACCACAAGCATGCAAGACAAAGATGGCATGACGATGCTCACTTAAGGTCATTTACTTTTGTTCACAAAAGCACAACGATGTTCACTTAACGCTGTCCACCTGATGTCGCACCCTGTTTGGCTGCGCGCCTGGCAGCAGTCGCTCAGCCCAGCCTGATTAAGCCATCCGAGGCGCAGATGGATGCATGTTGTCACCAGCTACCGAGCCATCCGCTTGTCCAGCGCAGAACTTTCTCAGCAGGAGCTTTGCGAGGCGGTCGACGATACCAATGTCTCAGTCCATGCCTGGGCCCATCACTAGCTGGAACACAATCCTGTAAGCCTCGACAACGCTCGTCCAGGCCGGCAACGGTATCATCAGACCACCTTGGCTAATCGCGTGTATCCACCTGTCTGGCACAACAGCTGGGTGGTGTCTCTCGGGTCGACAGTCCCATACTTGGATCGAAGTGTTTGCACTTTGCACCGCCACGAAGCCGGCAGCGAGGGTCAGCGCCCCGTGCTGGATGTTGACCTCGTCCATCTCGTCGCAGCGGCGGGGGCCATTTTCGGTCCTCTCGCCGTCACCGCCATGGAGCATGTCTTCGCCCGACTCGTTGACCCCGCCGTCCTCACCGAACCCGTTCGGGACGGGTACTGGAGGCCTCCACGACTGTTTGCTGGTAGCGGCTTCCGCGTTGTCCGCATTGCTCTGAGACCTCCACCACAGCTGGATCTTAGATCTGTGGATCACAACGAAACACAGTCATTTCCACGTACCTAACAGGCGCATTAATCAGACCGTATTACAAGTCACCAGTGTTTGTTCTCATTGCGACAGCAAAACGTGTTGGACCCGGACATGCCCTTTTTGGGTTATCTCATGCTTGTTTCCATACACAACTACTTTTCGTGGTCCAGCGTGACATAATCCGAGCGGGTAAGAGGGACGGTCAATGGCCGACGAGTACTGCACTGCGTGCACCATCTCATATCTACCGCTCCTAGCCATAGCCACGGATTTGTCTGGATGGTCCCGTTTCATGGTCCCATTTCAGTGCATCGGTTGCCCAGGGGGGTGGCGCCGCCATTACTGTTTTCCGACGCAAAAATACACGAGAACAGCGCGACCATCCGACCCCCCCCCCCCCGCCCTCCATTCGCCTCTGCACGTGAGGTTCAAGGTCTATGGTTTAGGCACATCAGCATTTTTTTACCATGATATTACTGTATGTAATCCCTAACTTAGGTGACCAGGCAAATAGGTTTTGTTTGAAATCTCAAACACTAACATGGACAGTGACACGAAGAGTCCAAAAGTGGCTCATTAGTAATAAGGCTCGCATATAGGCGGGCAAACATGTACGGCACGCAGCTGAAAGAAATGTCCAAGGCACCGGGGCAAACCAATGCTGGTAGCTCATTGACGCGCTAGGTACTGTATTTATTAGCGGTTGGGGGGTTCATTAGTCAGCTCACAGTGCGTAGATGTGTTGTTAATGGGTCTGGTACTCGCTCGTGCGAACTTGCCCTCCCGGCCGCTAACCCTGGCTCCGCCCCTGACACTCACCCCCTTCGCCCGTATAGCATAGATGGCTGTGCTACTTGTGTGGTAGTCAGGCCCCACTTTGTAAACAAGATTATGGTTGGAAAGTCTCGTTTGGAGCTCGTATTGTATTCTACAAACTGCACAGAGGGGCATAAATTGCGCATGCATTTAACTGTAAATCGGGTTGAAAGATCTCTACATAAAACAGACGGCAATTTTCCTTTTCAAGCACACACATCCTCACTTCGGCGTGCCGGCGATGTCCAGTGGCATGGAAGGAACTGCACTTGGTCGAAGGCATTAACATTGGGTTTGGGACTGGTTTTAACCAAATGGCCACGGTCAGTCATGATGTTGAAAATGATCAGATCAGATTACCGCATT